GCTTCTCATCCAGCTGCAATGTCTTGTGTGTAATTGTGGTTTCATTGCAGGTGCAGAAGCCTCCACATATACAGCACACTTTTTGTTGAAGGAGAATAAATATGTAAACACCTGATGGCTGTCACTGTTCCATCAAAATCAAAAGCCTGCTTTGTGTTATTTTGTGTCTATGTTTGGGCTCCCATCCTGCTCTAGTCCACAGAGATTTCATGATATTTAAGCATGTCTAATCCTGCATACATTCTCTCTTTGGACTTTTAAGAAAAAATGCCAAATTGAAAAACCTTTTCCAGGAGTTAATTTCATGTTCTGTGGGCTGTTGCAATTACAGTTGGAATTAATTGAGGACTGAGGAAATTAAAAACAGACTGTCAAATATTTTTCTGCTAACTGAAGAAACGGAAATAAACCACAAACAAAATATGGACTTTAAAGCACCTGAAACTTGTTTCTAGCACCCGCCTGCCCGCCCACCAGCCTGCTTCTCTCTCTATGTGTGTGTGTGAGTGAGTGTGAGTGTGAGTGTGTGCATGTGTGTGTGTTCTGTGTAATAGCAACTTTTTCCCAATCTGATGTTTCCTGTTCTGTTTATGGATAATGGAAACTGTGATCCAATTCACAGAAAGAGCATCAGGTTGAAGAGTGCTTCCTTAGCAAGAATGAGTTGTGCCTTTACAATTAAAAATTTGTTACTGTAGTCATTTTAAGAAAGTTATTAGTTAAGGCAACCCTCACCTTTTGGGGGCAGGAACAAATGGCAGGCAACTGTATAACTTCTGAAGCATATTGTTCTAAATCAAGGCTGGATTTTAATTGAGATTTTCACATATTTGCAAGTTTTCATCTAACCTCTTTGGACTTCAAGGGAAGCAGATACTGACTCCAGGCATTTCAGTTCTTTGCTCACATGTTCTATAAAGAGACTTTGACTTGGATCATTGGTCTTCTATTAATTTAATTAGGTAAAAATATAGATGTCATCTTTCTTGCAGGAAAAGTAGGTGAGAAGCATGATAAGACACACAACATACATACACACACTTTCCAACAGTCTCAAGATCAGCAACAGAACACAACTGGAGGAAGCAAAAAAGGTGGCAGTTTTAGATGTAATATATGTGGGAACACCATAATCCCTGAGATAAGCCATGACCCTGCTTGCTTTACAAAAAAGCTTTAAGGACATGGCTTTGCCTCCAGGCACACATTAATGTAAGCCTATAAGATGCTGTTATTGCATTGTTCATTGAGTTTGGCCTCAGCTGCAATTAAAGACTTTTAGATTAATAAACTTTTCTGTTTTTTTAAATATATATATATTTAAAAATATATATACATTTTTTTAAAAAAGTCCTTGTAAGATGGACAAATAGAGTGCAAAGAAGAGCAAAGAATGATTAGGGGGGTTGAAGGACCAAAACATACGAAGGGTTATAGGAATTGGGTCTAGTCTAATGAAAAGAAGGACTAAGGGAGACATGATAGCAATGTTCAAATATTTGACGGGCTCCTACAAAGATGAAAGGGTCAAACTATTTTCCAAAGTACCAAAAGATAAGATAAGAAACAATGGATGGAAACTAACCATGGAGAGGAGCAACCTAGAAATAAGGAGAAAATTCCTAATGGTGAGAGCAATCAACCAATGGAATAGCTTGCCTTCAGAAGTTGTGAGTTTTCCATCACTGGAGGCTTTCAAAAAGAAGCTGGAAAAACATTTGCCTGAAATGGTATAGGGCACTGATGGCCAACCTTTTAGAGACCGAGTGCCCAAACTGCAACCCTAAACCCACTTATTTATTGCAAAGTACCAACACGACAATGTAACCTAAATACTGAGGTTTTACTACCTAAAATGATGATAAAGGCAGAGTTCAGCTAATTGTTCTAAGAAAAAGGTGATAAATGCACTTTTATGTCCCTTCATTTTTTTTCTGCTTTTGAAATATTACGTTTAGCAACAATAAAAAAGAAAAACTTTTGTAATATCATTTCTCTTTCCCTCCTTCTCTGTTTCTCTTTCCCTCCCTCCCTCTGTCTCCTCTGTCTCATTTCTCTTTCCCTCCCTCCCTCTCTTTTTCCCTCTTCCCCCTTCTCTCTTTCCCTTCCCCCTCTCTCTTTCCCTCCCTCCCTCTGTCTCTCTTTCCCTCCCTCCCTCTCTTTCCCTCTTCCCCCCTTTCTCTCTTTCCCTCCCCACTCTGTCTCTTTCCCTCCCCCCTTTCTCTCTCTCTTTCTCCCTCTCTTCCCCACTCTCTCCTCCTGGGGGGGGAAGGGAAGAAACCCCTGAACTGGTGCTGGATGGTGGGAATCTGACGTCCAGAGGCCCACAAGCCCAGGAGCAGCATGCTGAAGACCAGCTGGCTGGTGGGGAGGTGGGGCATCACAACACTAACAGCTCTGCAGGAAAAGGAATTGACATCTGGGAGGCAAGAGCGAGCTGACGACGACACAGGGGTTGTATTGTGGCTCCGCGTCATAATGGGCTCCAGGAGGAGGGGGGCCCATCTCCCCCATTGTGAAGCACGCTAAATTTCAATTCCAACTTCACAAGATCTTTTTCTTTCGCAAGAAGTTGGAACTGATTGAATTTTTTTTTTTTAGTCCCACAAACTTGTTTCCCTGCAAACGATGGTGAGAAACATGATGGAGCTGGGGTGATGGCATGCGTGCCCACAGAGAGGGCTCTGAGTGCCACCTCTGGTACGCGTGCCACAGGTTCGCCACCACAGGTATAGGGTCTCCTGCTTAAGCAGTGGATTGGAATAGAAGACTTCTCACTCTATTATTCTATGTTATTCTGTGTTAGAGGGTGTGAGGAGGTTCAGTCAAATAGGTGGCAACTTGTGGTAATTACCATTCTGTGAAGGCTTCTTGGAACAAAAAGCTCTGCCACAGAGCCTTTAAATTATCTCCTGGCTTGTAACACATCAAAGAATAGAATAAATAAGCCATAATGGATAATTTCAGAGACAACAAAGTATGAGGAAACAGATCTGTTGCTAAGGAAACCTGAACTTAACCTAGGAAATAAGTTTTTATGACTCTAGCTCTTAAGGTTTTTGAAGTGTGCCTTCTACCATGATTTTTGCGGTTACAACTTCAGTTCAAAGCTTCTTTTATTTCTTTCGGCAAGCAGCAAATTTAATTTGTACTTTCAAGAGGGTCAGTGAAATATATGATGCTAGGTGATCTCATCTTCTCTATGAATCCTAATACCAAATCACAAGGGGACAGCATGAGATTGGCATTATTTACAACTGTAGGTAGTGCTACTACAATAATACAATAGCTCCAGGGCTGAATCTTGTTTTCAAGAGTATTCTCATATTTATTTCTTTTGCTGTTGAATTGTGTATAATTGAGAAGTTTGCAATAGGGTCTCCATGGGCCTTAACAAATCCATGGTCATCTCCCTTTCACCCCAATAAGCTGTTGCTTCATTTTCATTTTTTTGAAATTATTATAAAATAAAAACTAAATTACATGCTGATAATCAAAGTGCCAAACTCCAATATGATATATATTTCAAAAAAAGTCCATTGGGTCTAATTCTAACTATAACTTGATAAAATCATGGCTAAATGCCCCAAAGGTGCTTTTTCAAAAGACAACTGGATTTTCTTTGTTTTTCCTTGAAGGTGTCTCGCTTCTCATCCAAGAAGCTTCCTCAGTTCTGACTTCAGTTCTGACTTCCTGAGTCAGAACTGAAGAAACTTCTTGGATGAGAAGCGAAACATCTTCAAGGAAAAACGAAGAAAGCCCAGATGCCTTTTGAAAAAGCACTTTTGGAACAACCATTACCTAGAGGACTGAGAATTTCCATAGTCTGGCTAAATGGCCAATCACATTCTTCCTCCATGTTTCTTTTCTGGTTTTTTTTTTTAATTATCTTGGTTGATCAAGAGTTCTAAAAAATGTAGAAGCTTGAGATTATTAAACAATATGAATATAATAAAATACTGATTAAAACAAAACAGAATATATGGTTTCATAAAAATATTGCCTCTGTGGATTTTGGATTATCTGGTATGGTCAACACAGCTAAACAGAATGACATTTTTCATGTTCATTAATAGATTTAAATGTATCTGCTGAATTAATGATAATAGTTTATTTGTAAAGAACAACTGTATTCCATTCTTCCACTACAAAATGGTGCCAGAACCAGATAGGTATCATTAAAAACAATATTTTAGACAAATCACAAATTAGATGCAGCATAAAAAAATGGTTGCATATGTGCGCAGCATTCTAATGAAATAATTAGCAAGTTAGCCATAGAAAGCAGAAATATGTTTTGTCTGATCAGAGTGGAAAATCTCATATACAGAACAAGAGATCTAAATGAAATCAATTTATTTTTATGCATTGGAACTCTTCTAAGCATATACTGCTTCTGCTTTCATTGATATATTGCCATATAGTCATTTTAAGGCAATACATTTGCACAGTGCAGTGAATTAAAAGTTTACAGTAAAAGACTGAGGAATCAAACTGATTATGGTTATAATATGGATTAGTAATTTTTAAAGTCATTTTATCAATCCATTATTTTTAATATCAGACCACAGAGAAAAATTGGCAATCCATCAGTAATATAATAGATACAAATTCAATTTTTGTAAAGCATAATCAAGCTAGCAAATGCATTTGAATTATCTGATAAATTATTTTGTTTGTTTTGCTAAGTAAATGCAATGTCATCATGCAGAATCCATTAAGGTAATTGTCAGTTTATTAAATATCAGGAACTATGCTTTTCTTTTTCTTTTAAAAAATCTTCTCCATAAGAGAATATACATGTGTGACTTTTTAAGAAAAATATTAAAAAGTTGTGAATAATTAGAATGTGTAGATAGTTTTCTAGGTTCATTCATCCAAAGGAGATACAACAAGTGAAATATCATCAATTAACCAATGGAATAAAGGAATATCGATATTGTTCATTTTGTTCTAAACAAGATTTAAAATAGTGATATATACCAATTTGTTCCCCATAGCTACCTGTCAGCTTCCATGCTGCCACTACCTGTGGATCTAAAAGTTGAACCTTAAAAAAGCAAGACAGGAATAAAATCAACTCATTTGAGCTGTGGTACTGCTGGAGAAGGCTCCTGCGTATTCCTTGGACACCAACGTGACTAACAAGCACTTTGACTTGTCAGAAATTCACAAAAGGTGATCACATGACCCCGAAACACTGCAACCATCATAAATACATGCCAGTTGTTGAATGTCCAAATTTTGATCATGTGACCATGGGGATGCTGCAACAGTCATAAGTGTGAAAAATGCTCCTAAGTCACTTTTTTCAGTGCCACTGTAACTTTGAGCAATCACTAAATGAATGTTTGTATTTTTAAAAATTTTTTTATTGACATAACACAAAACATAAATATACATACATACAAACAAACATACTATACATAAACAAACTAAACATTAAAATCAAGTATAATACCTGAACTTTGATAGTAGAGTTATCACGGTAATTAAATATTTGTATATCTAAATATGTATATCTTTCATTATATAACGATATTTATTTGACGATATGCAATTCCATTTCCTCATTTTTGTGTTCTTGGGTGGTATTCCCTTATTTTATCTTCTTTTTCTCTAGCCAATCATACCATTTGTGCCAAATGAAATAGTAGTCTGTGTCTTCCTTTTCCTGTATTTCCTTTGTCAGTCTGTCCATCTCCATGCATTCCATTATTTTTTGTATTAGCCGCTCCTCTGATGGTGTGTCTTCCAGTTTCCATGTTTGTGCGAAAGTGATTTTAACTGCTGTCAAAATGTGTATTATCAGGTATTTTATTTCTTTTTTGTAGTCTTTTGTCAGTATTCCTAGTAGATATGTTTCTGGTCGAAGTGGCACTTTCTGGGAGGTAATTTCTTCCAGTTGTTTTTGGATTGTTTTCCAGAATTTTTTCACCTTTGGCCGATGGATTCACCATATTTGTAAATTGTGGACTACCTATACATATAAACAATTATAATACAGTAGTACCTCGGTACTCATTGTTAATTAGTTCCGGGAGGCATGATGAGTACAAAAAACAATATGTAGCAAACAAATTTTTCCCTTAAGGAATAATGTAGTGAGTCACAAGGCAGCCTCCAGTGTTGGAGCACCCACAACGTCTGGAGGCAATTCATTCCACCGATTAATTGTTCTGACTATCAGGAAAATTCTCCTTAGTTCTAGGTTGATTCTCTCCTGGATTAGTTTCCATCCATTGCTTCTTGTCCTGCCTTCAGGTGTTTTGGAGAATAGGTTGACCCCCCTCCTCTTTGTAGCAGTCCCTGAGATATTGGAACACTACTATCATGCCATCCCTAGTCCTTCTTTTCATTAAATTGTGTGCAAGAGCTCACATATAACCTAAGGTTACCCACCTTTACTCTAGAAACGTTCCCTTCCTTTTTTGTGTGTGTGTGGGGAGGTAATCCTGAAGATCTGGATTCTAACCATAGCGGTGGTCAGAGCCATGGTGGCGCAGTGGTTAGAATGCAGTACTGCAAGCTACTTCTGCTGCCTGCTGGCTGCCTGCAGTATGGCCGTTCAAATCTCACGGTTGACTCAGCCTTCCATCCTTCCGAGGTCGGTAAAATCAGGATCCAGATTGTTGGGGGCAATAAGCTGAGTCTGTAAACCACATAGAGAGGGCTGTAAAGCACTGTCAAGGGGTATATAAGTCTAAGTGCTATTGCTATTTTAATTCTTGTAAAAGAAAGCAAAACATCGATTGAATTTCAGAGTGGGTTAAAAAGGCAAAGGAAGAATAACCCAAGCTTAGCATGTCATTCATTGATTGATTGCCCTAGCCAAAATAAACTATCTGAACAGATATAGTGTTCTCTGCACAGTGCACAGAGCATAGTGCTTGAGCAACAGACTCCAATATTTTCTTGGAAATCAGGATGGCATCTCTTCTGGGTGCCAGTGCTAGAGGCAAATAAAGACACATCAGCACCATCTCATAAACCACCCATCTTCCGAAAGCAGATGTCAGCCCTCACGATGCCAGCAGGAGGCGAGAGTTGCAGGAGATCGTCATCAGGCACCGAGAAAAAAACACAACCTCTTTATTTAGCCTTCAGGTTGTAATCTCTGGCAAAACTATTAAGTCTCCAGCTGTCTGATGCAAACTATCTCAGTGCTAATTTCATTCTTTCTTGCCTTATTGCCGCTCTCTTTCTGTAATGGCTTACAAGCCTCTAGACAACTTGTCTCAAGCCTTTTCCTCCCCTTGCGTGCGCGGGAAAATATTCATGATTTTTCTTTTTATTAGAAATGTCATCACGGATTTGCCACTCTCAAACCTGGTTGGACTGAACTGAACAATTCACAACATCACGAAGGAGAGAAGAAAAGGGAAGCAATTAGCATTCTCCCCTCAGAGCTCTGGATGATTCAGTCCATGCAGAGAGGACTTAATAATGCCCTATCGGGGATAACTTGGGGATAGGAGTGGCAATTCTGTTTTATGGAGAGTATGCTGGTGTAAAGAGACTCATTCTTTTCAAATAAGCTTGAAGGTGGAGAAGAAATAGGGCAAGTCACATGGTTGATTGCCCATTAAAGACAAAAGTCCCCCAGTGAAAACTTAAGCAAATGAACTTTGTGTGAAGCAGGGAATAAGAAATAAGTATTTAAAAATAAATTGCTTTTCTGTTCAACAACTCCCTCCTACTCAGATGTTCAGTGGTTTGAAGACGATCTCATCCTGGTCTCCAGGGAAGCCCTCTTCCACCCCTGCTGATTTTCAAACCAATCTAAACTATGTAGATTCCAAAGCAAAAGTAAGCATATATCAATAAATTACGACAGCTAGATAGTTATGGAGAGAGCTAATAACCTTGGGCTAACAAGGGTCATTATTAGGCTTATTAATTCCTTCGGACTATGAGCAGGGGAGAAACTATTTGTTAATGCATCTACTTGCAAAAATAAATTCTTGCAAATAAGAAGGAAAGAGATGAGATTATAGCATGGGGGGAAAAATAGTGATGGTTTCGGTCAGAAAATGTCCTGATCATAGAAAGCAGAGGTATGCATTGCAGGTCTATATGTAATCCTCAAATTTTTTCATTCTCTTTTGCATCCCCTAAAGCAGGGGTATCAAACTCGATTTCATCGAGGGCCGCTTCAGGGTTGTGTTTGACCTTGGAGAGCCAGGGTGGGCATGGTCAGTTCAACGTCACTCATGTTGGGGGTGCCTGTGATGGCCGAAGTGCTCTCCCAGCGAAAATAGGCACATGTGGCCCTCCAGAGCTCCATTTTCTCTGGCAGAGGGTTGCAGGAGGCTGTTGCAGCCGAAAATGGAGCTCGGGAGGGCCACACGCAGCCCTCCCAAGCTCCATTTTTGCTGGCAGAGGCACCGCGGGCCAGTCCTTCACTGTTTCCAGGGCAGTCCCGTGGGCCAGATCTATGCACCCTGGAGTTTGACACCCCTGCCCTAAAGCATTTTTCAACCCCTACAAAAAAGGCAGCATAGGTTCAAGATAGTTTAGAAAAGAGGGGGAATCCTCAAAACTTGGATGGAAGCATGAATGCTACTGGTTCTTCAGCACCTCCTGAGACGAAAGGCAAAGAAATGTAGATAGATATCTAAAGAGCTATTTAGGACCTCCACTTGTTTATCTCCTTGTGTTGATTATCGTGAGGTCACTTTCTTCTGCCTCTCTTCACAGACTCAATTATAAGGAGCACATTTTTTTAAATTGTTCTTCTGGTAGGATGCGATTAGTTAGGTGCTAGGTTTTGCCTGTCTCTATCATGTTTTCCTGAAAATAAATCTTTTAATTATCTACTTTACTATTCATCACTGAAGCCAGATTCCTAATGTCAGGAATGGTCTCCCTCACACACTTCTCGTTAAAAGACCCCTTCCTCATTCTTTGACACAGAAAAAAATCCCATAAAATTTTAGAACTTTCTTAGTTTATAAAATCCTCCTGTCCATGTCCTCTCTTGCAGGTCTCCTTGTGATCTGTTCTGCCCCAGCTACGGATCCCAAAGAACGCAGCACACACAAAGTCTGTACAAACCTTAGTTTACTAAATTAAATCAGCCTTTTTTTCCCCAAACAAAGGCTGTTAGTTAACTTTCTTAACAGCCTACAAGAATCCAAAGAATAAATAATCTTAATCTTACTATGGTTGGTAGAAAGCCCAGAAGCAATTTGCAGAGGACTAAGATCAAGGCACAAAGGAGAGTGAACAAAGTTGTTCCTTGCAAATTGCTTCAGTCGGCATTCCTCCTTAAATAGGCTAAGGGAGTCGCCAATTAGCCCCAAGCCTTACTCTCGAGGAGACCTCCTCCTGAGGAGCCACTCCTGCCTTTTGGCAGCTCTGCGCACCCATGCATCGAGAAGAGGCTCCTCCTCTTCGTCCTCTTCACTTAAGGGAACTTCTGGAGGTTCTGAAGGCCCTGGTTGAATCCCTGCCTCTGGCACCACATCTTCTCCAGCCTCATTGTCCGACTCGAGTGCCAGCTGCACAGGCTGCTGGCGTAGCACCACACCAGCCTCTTCGCTGTCTGAATCAGCCACCAGCCGCACAGGCTGCGTACGGGCCACAACATGGTCTTAATTCCAGACACAAACACACACAAATCCTTTCAAACTGATTTTGCCAGGAAGCTGTGGTTCATTTAGTTCATTATAGATGGCAGACTTAATTTTAGTTTAATTTTAATTTAACCTGAGACCGATTTGAGAACTCATTTCTATACATCAGAGATTGTCAGTTAGGACTGAAGGTCAGAAGCAACATGGAAACATGAGTCTATCTATCTATCTATCTATCTATCTATCTATCTATCTATCTATCTATCTATCCATCTATCTATCTATCATCTATCTATCTCATACTCTGTCTCTGACGTTGATCAGGATTCCAGAGGCAAAGCCAAAGTGCCACCAAAGCTCACCCCTGCTTTGCTGGCACAAGCCTGAAGTGTGGTTGCATAGGCAAGCCAAGGAACAAATCCTGTTTTGAATGCATCCTATTTTGCCAGTGCAAACACAAAGAAAGCTTTGAGTAATTGCTAAACCTGCCAAGTATCATAAATTTATTTATTACAGTGTTATTTCATTTTATTTACCAAGAAGTAATGTATAACTTTACTTTATTATTTTAGGGGATTGCAGTACAGCATATTTTGACAA